TTTCACTTATGTAAATACAACGATGGCTCATCGAAGTCCATGAGAACGAGTAAGTTTAGCCTTTAGTCGTAACTTTTTACTTGTCTGCTTCTTCACATGACTGCAAACTCCTTTAGGGCAGAGACCAGCTTTACTGAAATTATGCACTCAGCCCAGTCCTTGGTATGTGAATCAATGAGTAAATAAGACCCACTCACACTTGCCTTCTGTAAGAAGAAACAGAGAATGTGGTAAACTAAATTCCTCTCCAATACTGTTTTGAGTGGGATGATTTATTTGAGTGGGATTAAAGGGAAAAAAGAAAAGAGATGAAAAGTGGATCAGCCAAAAAAAAAAAAAGCCATTAAGGGTTCGTATCACAGCTGTTTCAGTTTACTTCATCCTGTGATTTCCCCGTCATTCAGCTCAGAACAGGTTAGAATTTTCAGAAATAACTTTTTCTGGGGAACCAAAGTAAACGAAAACCATGAATGCAAAAAGATGCCAGAGTCCGCACAATTCAGAGTTTTTATCGTAATTTAAACCAAAGTCTTGCCAATGTTTAATTTAGTTGGCACAGCTTTCTAAGCCCCTGTCCTGTTCCTGCTCTCAGTTTCAACTGGTCTGGGGTTGAATAAAGGTGAATATTAAATAAGCTATTTAAACTTTAAGAAGGAAGTACGTTTAGGCTGGCTCAGTGTTCAGGACAAACCAACTGCCCTGATCCTGCCTATGCCTTCCATTTCCACTTATTTTCTTGGGATGCTCCTCTCGGTCAAGTTCACTAACCTGAAAATCCCTATGCCTCTCGGCCTCCCCAAGTCTTTCCCGTGAGCCTACCCTATTTCTTTCCGCCTCATTCCATTTTCCTGAAGTACACACGCTACCCAGCTGCTGAGACTGGTTCTACCCAGTAAGGCTTCGTTCTCTGGACAGCTAGGCCATCCTCCATGTAACATTCATGGCAGCCCCGGTCTCCCTGGGGCTGTTCCCTGTAACACATCAGCACCTGCTGCTCTCCCTATATCAAAGCCAGTGTCTCCTTTTGGGTCACCCACCAGGCTCCTGTTTCCTGCCTGGTGGAAGTTTTCCATTCTCAGTACATTTCCAAGGTGGAGAGAACTGACCTGCTCTGCCCTTGGATTAAGTCTCCCCATGTTAGGTTACCAGCTCCATAGCGTCTTCATATACTCCGGTGACTCAGGTGTGATGTCCTCAAGGGTGAAGGCACGTGGTCATTTCCCCAGAAATCTATCGCTATTCTTTTACAGCCCCCCAAAATACTTTGAACATAGAATAAAAATGACATAATTTCCAGGAAGAATAGAGAGGAGCCTGTCCCACATGGGGCGGGTCCTGATTATATACGTAGGAAGCGTGGACAGTGGGCAGGTGTGACTGTAAAGAAGAAAAAGTAAGAAACGGAAGGAAAGTAAAGAAAGAGGCAGCTAGGCAATTTTAATGAGGGCAGGCATGGTAGGATGACAGACACTAAGAATTCTCAAGTGGGAAAGAAAAAAAGACTGCAATTTATGTGAAGCGAAGTCGAAGTTAACCTGATGGTTCAGGGCTGAAGAGAGGTCCTTTCGTTCAAAAGCCTCCAACATCTGGTTTGTCTTTTTCCCCAGGTAGTTATAGGTACTGAAAGAAAACAGCACATACTGCAGGATCAATCACCCAGTGGGAAAGGTCCAGCTCTCGAAACCCCTGTACTGCTTAAAAGGCAAAAATATACCAGGTCTTCGAGGAGTCTATATTTTTTAGGCCCTCATCGATTAGAGGGTCTGGTGTCTTCAGTTCTGAGTTTTCCAGCAACACTAAGCAGTGCCAAGAGGAGGCAGAGAACACCCAAGAGAATGAAGAAAAGTGGGAAAAGGATAAATTATAAATTTATATTGCTTATAAATTATGTTGACAGAATTAAGATGCCTAGTATGGAGGCCAAAAAACGAGAGTCCGAAAAGTCAGGATTTCCAGGGGGAAAAAAGGTGCCATGCTCAGCAGATACAAGAAGTTAAGTTTCCTCGGTAGAAATGTCCCTATGGGCCACCTTGGCTTGGTGAGGAAGACATGAAGACCATCCAACTCAATTACTCTTTGCCAAGGCCATGCTCACCAAGATATGTTATGAATATCACTCTGCTTTCCCCTGTGCTTTTCCTAAAGGGAAGAAATGCACTTTCAGTGAATGCAAACATTTCAATCAATCTGCGTGCGGGCACATGTCTAATGAACTAGGTGAACACATGCAGTGGACATGCTAATTGAATTGCCTGCCTTCCTTAAGCTTTCTGCTGAGTAGGTACTGGGCCACATGATTCGACTTTCCTGGCTGCAGCTGATAGGACTGTCGGTGGACACCTGACTAGGCAGTGCTCTCTAGTGAGATGCCATGTTTGGACAGCCATGATGGATTGCGTGTGTGTGGAAGCAGAGAAAGCCCATCTGGAGAGAAAGAAAGAAGGTGGAAAAAAAGAGCTGTGCAGACAGATGCAGAGGAGAGCGTCTCCAGAGAAGAACAAGCTGCCTTGGTTGTTGAGAGATTGGTATTTCTGGATTCTCATCTTCTCTTAGGCCTGGCTGCACTTCCTCCTCTTGGGTTTTATGTAATTTCCTAGTACAGTAAAACCTTGGATTGCGAGTAACTTGGTTTGCGAATGTTCTGCAAGATGAGCAAACATTTCTAATACATTTTAACGTGGTAAACGAGTGATGTCTTGCAATATGAGTAGTTGGTCTCTGGAATGAATTATGCTCACAAACCAAGGTATTTTACTGTATTTTATAATAACACCTTCGCCCACATAAGCTAGTTTGAATGGGTTTCTGTTATTTGTAACCAAATCATTTCTGACCGAGAAATTCTGTGCACGTTCTCAGCTCTTGCACCTCACCTCTAACTACCATTCATGTTTCTAGTAACAACGACTGAGTCGCTAAGCCCTACTTAATTCTCTTTCACTGAAAGACAGTAGGAAAGAAAGGTAACTTCTCTAGAAAAGATGAACATGCAAGAAGTGTCAGTATTTGGGCGATAAATGCCTCTATGGGGGGACTTTCCATTTATAAGCCTTGATACGTTTATAACTAACTGGGAAATATGAGTCCTGCTTACCTGCCCACTGCTCCAGTTGCTCCCATCACCAGAGCACTCAACAGTTGCTAATCAGAAACAGAAAAAAAATATTGACTTTTATGAAAAAGAGAGAGAAGATGCTACTACTCCATAGGCAGCTCCATAAATTGTTTTGTAGGGAAGCTAACCTGTGGGATATGCCAAGGGGCGACTTACCTCATCCACCCCAAAAAGGAAAGCAATTTGGCACTGGCGATACTGATCAACACACTGCCCGAAGTCTAGGAGATCTGTGTCACTGAATTTCAATCCTTGGAAGGTGGGGATCTTCTTCTGAATCCCATCCAACAGCTCCTCTGCACGAACTGCTCAAAACAATCAATGCGTTGTTAATCTGCATGCCTCCAGAAAATATCAAATAACATCTCATTAGCCCCACACATCTGCACTGAGCTGCCTGGCTCGGCTCTTGGCTGGAGCTGACTGCAGTTTGAACATAATCGCTTGCTCTCACCTAGCAGTTCTTATGGACTTGTCAAATGATAAGTCCCAAGTCTTCGGTTCCTTGAAGACAATAGATGGATATTTATAAAGTGCCCTTTCTATTTTTTTTTCTTTTAAGGAAATTAGAAAGGAACGGGATTTAAAAAATAACCAAAGCATTGTTTTCATCTAATTGTAAGAATCTTCTTGATGGAGAAGTAATAACAAAAGAAAAGCTAGAAGAAAAGTGAGAAAAAGTCAGAGTTCCTTCTTAGGTGCCAGGCACTGAGAATACAGTAGGGTACAAGGTAGACATAGTCCCCTTCCCAGTGGGGCTCACAGGCCATGTCTCCCCATATAAGAAGGAAGGGTGTGTGCAATAGATGCAAACGTCTGCTTGAAGTGCCTGGGGGTCAACTCCTCTTTCATCCTCAGCTTCCATTATAAGGTGATGGCAGTGATTGATTGATAAGGGCTGACTTATTTTTAATAAGAGTGACTTATTTTGGAGCAATTGGAAACGTCTGGTCAACAGTGTTATGCTGGGGTGGGTGGGAAGGAGTGGGGTTTCTTCGCGCAATAGGGTAGGTAAGATGTGAGAGGGGGAGGGAAAGAATCATGGAAAGCAGCAGTACTTACTCTTCACCCCTGTCAAGGCAGGAATGTGATAGTAATAAAATGGCAGAGCAGGGGCAGCAGCAGCCACCTCCTTTAGGAAATTAATCAGGGCATCTGAAAGAACAGCAGGAAAAGTCATGATGTGACCATGTGAAACCATCTCGTGAAACGCAGCCCTCCTTTTTTGGAAGCCAAAAATTCCTGTCTCCTCTTATCATCCCTGAGATCGCTGCTGCAATGTCTTTGCAACTCCATTCAAAGTTTTGTTTTCCTTTCTGTAGTAAGGCCAAAAGAAAATGACCACTTTCCTACCATATTAAAGTACTATTAAAAAAAAAAAAAAAACAACTGGTGTGAACCTTCCCACCTAGTAAGAGGAGCTCATGAAATACTCTTACAAAAACCAAAGGCCATCAGGTAGGACTCTCCTCTTACCCCAGGGAGGCTTAAGTATGGTCAGTGAACAACAAGGACTTTGCATTAGTATCAGAATAATAACGTTGTAACTGAGAAAAATCCACAACAGAAAGACAACCAACACCTGATCAAAGAGGGACGTTGCAAGAGTAATGGCACATCTCACGATAATTCAACCCAAGTTTGGTACTTTTTCCTTTTTGGAAGAAATCCAGATGTATCAGAAGAGAGCTTACTCTAGTTTACTGAGGAATTGGGACTTTCTACACCATCCAGTGTGAGCTTCAACTGCAACAATACTGCACATGATAAATAAATCCAGCAGAATTGCTTTCTTGGGGCTGGCTGAGTGGCTCAGTTGGTTAAGAGCGCGAGCTCTGAGCAACAGGGTCGCCGGTTCAGTTCCCACATGGGCCAGTGAGCTGCGCCCAAGCTGAGCTGCCAACAGGTAGCAGAATGGCTCACCTGGTGAGAGCACATGCTCCTAACAACAAGGTTTCTGGTTCAACCCCTGCATAGAATGGTGGGCTACACTCACCTGCAACTAAGATTGAACACGGGCAACTTGAACTGAGCTGCCTTGAGCTGCTTACAGGAGGCCGGGTGGCTCAGTGGTTAGAGTGTGCACTCTTAGCAACAAGGTTTCCAGTCTGACTCCCACATGGGATGGTGGGCTACGCCTATCTGCAACTAATATTGAACACTGCACCTTGAGCTGAGTGGCCGTGAGCTGCTGAAGGGCGGCTGGATGGCAACTGGACTTAGAGCTGAGTTAGCTGTACCCTCCACAACTAAGATTGAAGGACAACTTGGCTGTTCCCCTTCCCCAATTCCCCAATAAAATCTTAAAAAAAAAAAAGAATTCCTTACTTATCCTCTCTGTGCCACTGAATAGTGGGAGAGAGAATCTTATATTCTCCATCTGAATACTGTAATGATGTGTTCTCTCTGTGACAAATATTTCTGACAAAATTATTATATATATTTTGTTATTTTTCCTTTGTCTGTCTTTTGGAAAATGTATTCATGTAAAAAAATTTGAAAGCCATGTGAAAAAAAGAAAATTTTAAAATGTTCATTTTGAATTCCCAAAATAGCAGTATTTAAATTAGTTATCTATATTAACAACTGTTTCTTCTCTACCAACAATGGGTGATATTTCATGATAATTTTGACCCATTATACATTTAGTTATGGATTTATTTAATCATGCATACAAATAACATCTTGTCTGTTGTTAATCCTTTTAAAGTGTATATTTCTTTTTTTGCTAATTAAAGGATTAAAAATACTTGGAAACCACAAATAGTTTCCATAGAGAAAGCAGGGGAGAAGGAGAAAACAAAAACTTGATATTTTGGAAGACAATAGATGATTCTGTGAAATCTCTTTTCAAATTCATCACTCACTCAAACTTGACTAGAACATGTAGTCTCAAAATGCTCAGCACTTAATTTCCTCTTTTTTGAGAGAAATGGTCCCATGCTTTGCCATGTGACTCTGACACTCTGCACAGTTGAGCGGACAAGGAGTTGATACCTGACGCAAACACAGGCACAGACAGGTTGACCCAGGGCTTGGTGGATGACCCAACTTGGCAAAAGAGTTGGAATCCTTTAATGAAGTCTTTTCTTTTATGGACCCGGGGAGGCCAAATACTCTGGAGAACTCTGTACCCATTGTAACTTCATACCTCCAGTCCATAAAACTTGACCTTCATGAGTTAAATATAACCATTGTGAATGAAGGCAAAAAGAAGTGGACCACGCGAGCTGCTGTGTGTACACCTGTCTGCTTACCTTTGTTCCATGGCTTGAGAAAGAAAGGTGCAATGACAGCGATGCCATCGGCTCCTATTTCTGCTGCATGTTTGGCCTTCAAAAGAAGAAAGAAGACCATGAGGGATCTGGTCACAATTCTGACGTGTGTAGGTGTGGGGTTTTCCCCACCCCAACAAGCAATTCTCTGACACTAGCTGGGAGGCCTACAATTCAACACAGCTCTGGCACTATCTACCTAGACACAGAATCCGATCCCACAGATTAAGAACTCAGTTCCCAAACGCTGGCCCCACTTCAGATGGCAGTCACAAGCCCAGGCTGTCACCTGTGCTTCTGACCACTAGCTATAGATTGGAGCTTCCAACGACCCCCTCCTTGGGTCAATTAATTTGCTAGCGTGGCTCATAGAACACAGAGAAACATTTTTCTGACTAGAGTACCAGTTTATTACAAAAGGATGTAACTTGGACACAGCTGGGTGGAAGAGACGCACAGGGCCAGGTATGGGGAAAGGTACAGAGCTTCCATGCCCGCTCTGAATGCAAGTACGCTACTCTCCCCAAATCTCCATATGTTCACCAACCTGGAAGCTCTTTGGATTTTTATGAAGGCATCATTTCATAGGCATGATTGATTAAAACACTGGCCATTGGTGACTAATTCAACTTCAAGCTCCTCTCCTCCCCGGGGATGGGGGTGTTGAAATTAAAAGTTCCAACCCATTAATCCCATTAATCATTTGGTTGGTTCTCCCATCCTTAGGTGCTTTCCAAAAGCCATTCATTAACATAACAAGAGTCTTTATTGCTGTCATCACAGGAAATTAGGCTCTCTGTGGTGGAAACAGGCATACCAAATACAGCAGGCCCCCTTATCCATTTGACTGATTTATTTCACTTAACATACTGTCCTCAATGAGGTCCCTCGATATTGTAGCATATGACAGGATGGATTTCCTTCATTGTAAGGTTGAATAATATTCCATCGTATGTATGCACCATATTTTGTTTATCCATTTATCCTGAGATGAGCATTTGGATTGCTTCTACCTCTTGGCTAAGGTGAATAGTGCTGCTGTGAACTTGGACGGGGGCAACCTTTTGTGTTTCAGTTCTCTCTGCCACTGTATAGGCAGCAATTTCTCAGTTTTTACCACTCATCATGGCTGAACCCCATCTTCCATCTCCTTTATGCCCAGCAGATGGCGTTGCCTTTTACTTCCTAGAGAAAGCTGAAGTTGGCTCAAATTCTGCTCCTTCTCTGCAAACTTAGCTACCTCTATAGCCATCCTTACTTTGCTCAGAGGAAGAGGGGTTTCCATCTCCTATTCAGAGCTCTGCTGCAGCAGTTATCTATCACCTTGGGCTACTCCCTTTAAGGCCCTGTGTCTGCTTCCAGTTGGCGAGCTCCCTGAGGCCCCACACCTTATATTCTCCACAATAGCATCCAATAGGTAGCAAAAATGGTACTGATTTTAACTTCAGCATAAAAATGGAAGTGCCTCCAGTGGTCTCTCCCAGATGGACCTGCGTACATACCAGTTCTTGTGACTCCTTCAAGCTGAGTGCTCCTACATGAATTACCACCTGATCCAACCTACAAAAGAGAAAACACTGTTGCATCATGGGAAGTTTACAGTAACATAGGACGACACTGTCCTGGTTTGTGCTGGTTTTAGCAGTTACCTAACATCTCGTTAATCTCAATCTCAAAAGACTCAAATTCTACAGTAGTCAATTTAAAATGAATCTAATTGAGGATTTAAAAAAAAATGTCCAGGGAATAAAATTTAAGGTTCAACTAAGCAGTAGAATTTTGAAACCAATAACTGATTAATTAAATACTTAAGTACTAATTTTGACTAAGCATCATTTTTGATGCTGTATTTGACGATGACAATGTGCATAGAGATAGGTGTAAAATTGAGATTTTTTTTTTGATTGGCAATAAAAGTAAAAAGATTCCTCAAAGAGTACAACTAGGAACCAGCCATATGAGAAATGAATTAACTGGAAAAAGCTTTTTCTTATCTTGTAAGTCCTCAGAATTTGGCCATAAGTGACGTCTTCTCCGAGACTCCAAAGTTCATCTTTGGGGGTACTCCCTGTAGCCCAATGGGAAGGAGCCACAGTTAAGACTGGTCTTCTCAGCTGTGAACCCAGCGAGTCTAAGGGACTCGGAACCACACAGATGGCATCCTCATGGGATGGAGACACTGCATATTGGTTTAGGCTCAGTCAGTCATCCATTGACTCTTGACTTGTTATATCTTAGGCTGATGGGGCCTAGCTAGGAGGTGATATGATCAGATTTGCATTTATTTTTTTTTTTGGTAAGAAATTTTATTGGGGAACAGTGTGTTTTTCCAGGCCCCATCAGCTCCAAGTCAAGTAGTTGTCTTCAATCTAGTTGTGGAGGACGCAGCTCCGTGGCCCATGTGGGGATTGAACCGGTAACTTTGGTGTTGTGAGCCTGAGTTCTAACTGCCTGAGCTAACCAGCTGCCCCATGGTTTGCATTTTGAAAGGATAATAGAAGCCTTCTGAAAGAGAAAAGAAGCTGACTGACCTGTTTCACTGTGACAGCAGCTTTATTGCATTGCCTCCTTGAACCTTTTCCCACCCCTTTCTCCTGGCTTATGTTAAAACAATGGTCCACTCCTTCCTGCCTTCCACCCTGCTGCTAGGTGCCGCTAGAGAAAACCACCATATGGCTTTAATACAACCTTGTAATTTCCCAGTTCAGGAGGCTGAGTCTCCCAAAAGCCTTCTGCTCATCCTGACTTACTTGTCTTTCCAATTCCCCGCAGAGGCTACTGCAAATCTTCCCTGTTCTCAAGCTCCTGGTTCCATCCCAACTCCTTGTTCTTGGCAGATGTCCTCGCTTCCCAGACACCAAAAATAAAGGTGCTTTCACAGATAGACCCATTCACTTTGCCGCTTCTTGCCCTCTGCACTTCGCTTTGCCACCATCGATGCTTTCCTTGCAGCTTCTTGGCTGTCTTCTAAAGCTACTCCACCTACTTTTGGTTTTATTTCAACCTCCCATGGAGACCATCCATCCAAGGCATCAGTTCTTGACTCTCTTTAATCTCTTCTCCCACGGGGGTGTCCTTTCAGCATAAAAACACGCTCAAGGCTTCCCCCACTTGAAGAAAAAGAAACTACCCTTCTTTTAATCTTGCTTCTTCCTCCTTAATCTACTATTCTATCTGTCCTGCCTTCACCAGGGAATTTTGGGTGAGCATCACCTACGCTCCCTGCCCCCGATACCACAGGTCTGCCACATCTCTTAGCTCACTGCAGTCTGCTTCTGCTGCAGTGCCCCATGGCCCTGCTTCCTTTGAGGTCATTGGTCACCTGTGACATGTCAAGTCCGGTGGTCTTCTCAGCCCTCCATCTCCTGGCTTTCACAGCATCTAGCAATTACTGTAACACATGTCATAAGGAACAGAGCCTCTACTGCACATAATTATAATGAATTCTCATGTAACGCTTAGTCCTCTGGGTCAGGTGCTGTTTGAATTTTCACCACCACCTCGTAGGACAGGGACTATTATTAGTCCTATGTTACAGATGAAGTACACGGTGGTTATGATTTGCCTGAGTTCATAGAGCTAGTAAGCGGCACAGCCAGGACCCAAACTCAGGCAGCCTGGCTCCACAGTCCTGCTCTTAATTACCATGTGACATTGAAGCTCTCTGAAATCATTCTTCAGTGACAGGACACACGCCTCACCTCCCTCCTACATTTTCAGGGTTTTTTTGCCTCTGCCTACTTCATTATCCTCCTGTTTCTAGTGCTTTTCTTAATGCTTACCCTTAACTTTTCTCTTTTCTCACTGTGCTCAGGGTCTTTAGTCTTTTGGGGCCCAGGATCTGACTGACAATTTTCAGATAATTATCAGCGGAAAGCAGAGAGATCACCAGAAAATGCCTCCGCTCGTACGTGGACATGCATTCAAACCTGACATATAGTTTCAGAGTACTCAGGTGCTCTGAAGCCATTTAAGGATTCCCTAAGGTGGTCATGGGCCTACCACTGCCAACCAGGCCTACTTGGGACTTCCCTGCTGCCTTTGCTTCCACCTACGGCAACATCAATCACTCCCTTCTCTGATCCCTGCTTTTACCGTTTCTCAGGGGTTCAGAGTTAGTTTTCATGATCTGACATCTCCAATGGATGGTAAGCAGCCTGAGCACAGAGATCCTGTTTTATGTCCCCAGGGCCAGCACAGTGCATGACACAACATAATAGACAACGAGTAAAACTTGGTGAATGGAATGTGCTTAATGGACTGATACTGTCCTGTCTGTTTTACCGTGACATGAATTTGAGTGTTATAACAAAAACACTATCTCATCACACTGAGGATGCAGAAAGTTTGCTAAGACAAGAGGAAGTGCCCTAAGGAGCATGCTGGAGACCTGTAAGCAAGCGGGGCTGAGGAAGCGTCAGGCACCCATCCTGAGAAGGGAAGGCGTAGGACCTGCTCAGCAGAAGAGCCAAGAGCACAGCAGAATCCATCCCAGCACCTCCCGCTCTTATCCCCTCAGGCCCAGGACAGGGAACCGCAGAGCACTGGCCTGGTACATAGAGGAGAAGCAGTTTCCGGTTTCTGGAGGGCATCTCTGAGAGACAGGTGTGTCTCGCAGCCTGGCTGCCCATCCACACAGAAAGGAAGGGCGCCCCTCTGCCTCAGCTCCTTGCCAACATGCTAGGAGCCTGGGGTCCCTGCTCATTTTTCCACAAGCTGGCCTGAGCCGGACTTGTGACCGGAAGGCAGGAGGGCTGTGTCCCTTGGGAAGAGCCGCACTCAATACAGTTCTTGCAGATGAGTGTTTTTATCCTGGTGGAGCCACTCACTTGTTCCTCCCTTTTGTCACCCACTCCTCTGCGACCTGGCGGCGCTCTGAGACGCTCAGAGACAGGCCTTCTCCCGTTGTGCCATTCACTGTTTCAAACAAAGAGTCAGTCAGTGGGACCAGCCAATACCTTTTGCGTGTCCAGCGCCAATGCTGGAAGGGCAGGGTCAGAAATCCCTGCCTAAGAGGAAGTGACAGGGAGAAACAGCAGAGCATTGAAATGGCATGTTTCCATTTTCACCTGAGCCTCAGTCTTTTTTCCAACTTCACCTCGTCAAAAGTAGTGGGAAGGCAAATTCTGACTTATAATTACAAATTTGTCATTGTTACCATGGACAGAGGGCAAGTATTTTGAATGGAGATGGAGATAACTGCCCATGTTTGAGGCCAAGCTCCAAACACACTGCCCCGTTCAATATTTGGGCTTGAATGGCAGGAAAATCAACACCACCCCATCCTGGGATGTTGAGGCGGTCACAGTGGGAGTTGCTTACGAGGACAGTGGTATACACTCCAGATCTAAAATGACCTCTGCCTGTAGTTTGACACGGTAACACTCTAGGACAACTTTTTTTTTAAAAATCATAATTCATAAGAAAGCACAAGGATGTTAATATTTCTTGTAGCAAGCACTCTTAGATAGTTACTTTGTCTCACAACAGCCCTGCCAGTACAAATAATTCTTCTCATTGGCAGGTGAAAACATGAGGTTCTGCATCACGAAATAATCAAAGTTTGGATCCAGATCTGTGTGATTTCCAAACGTTCCTTTCTACTACAACCATTTCTTACTGGATCA